CGCACGGGGGCGGGGCCGCCTGGCTGGGCTGGGCACCCGGAGCTCACCAAGGGGCTCTGAGACAGAGCCAGGCCGGCGCCCCAGCAGACCTCGCCACGTGACCTCCACACGCCTCCTCAGGTGGGGTCGGGCGGGGGCGGCGGCCTCCGTGCCCTCCACAGGCTCCCTCCGCCTGCTTCGCTGGAGAGCCCCGAGGGGCCGAGGAGGAGTGCGAGTGAACAGTGACCGGCGACACCCCCAGAATGCGGCCCCCACCTGCCAGAGCCTTGGCTGTCACTCAAGATGCCTAGGACAGCTGGGAGCAGCCGGAGGGCTGAGTTTCCACAGGTGAGGGGGGCCGGGCCCCAGAGGACAGGGAGACGGCTGAGAACGTGTGTGCACACGCACACCTGTGCCACGTGTGGATGAGGAGCTTCGCTGCTGCTTCTGTGTTTGTGACGGTCCACGTCACCCCTGTTTATCATAAGCAAGTCCATGAGCCAGCGATGAACAGCTGCTAACGGCTCCCCCAGCTCCCTCTGGGCCATCAACCTTTCCCATGAGCACAGAGAGGACCACACCTGTTGGGAGGTGGGTACTGGGGAGACCAGGCTCCGCAGTGTCCACTTGTGAGTATATTTCTTTTTTTTTGAGTCGGAGTCTCACTCTGTGGCCCAGGCTAGAGTGCAGTGGCAGGCTCCCGGCCACCGCAGCCTCGACCTGCTGGGCTCCGGCGATCCTTCCGCCTCAGCCTTCCAAGTAGCTGGAACTACAGGCACGCGCTACCACGCCTGGCTAGTTGTTAAAATTATTGTAGAGACGAGGTCTCAGCAAGTTGCCCAGGCGGGTCTTGAACCTGTGAGCTCAGACAATCCTCTCACCTCAGCCTCCCAAAGTGCTGGGATTATAGGGGTGAGCCCCCACGCCTGTGAAGGCATTCTGACACCGGTCTGAGAGGAAGCCAGCATCCCTGAAAACGAGCCTACCCCCAGGGCCGGTGTGGGAGGAGCCCTTTGGTGCGCCCTCTGCTCCAGATGGCTGAACGCAGCAGCTGGAGAGCGAGTCCGGTGTGTGTTGGCCTGCTCAGCGGACCCCCATGGGGGGCACCTGCCAGCAGCGGGTCACGACGGGCAACCTGCCTGCCCCGGTCAGCATCGGCATCTACATGTGACTAGCAGTCAGTGAGGGGGCCGGCCACGATTCCATTAATCTAAAATCCCACCTCATGAGAAGCCCCACACACGTTTTTGCCCTAGGGCCACATGGTCATGGGTGGAGAGGGCCTTCGAAAGACAAGGACGTTTCCAGAGCAGCAGTCCCCGACCCTTTCGGCCCCAGGGACCGGTTTCACAGAAGGCCCGCTTTCCCCAGACCGGGGCAGGGGCACCCTCGGGCGCCAGAGTCTCACAGGGAGCGCCCGGCCTAGATCTCGCGTGTGCACAAGGGGGTCCGCGCTCGGGTGAGAATCTGAGGCTGCCACGGACTGGACAGAAGGCAGAGCTCTGCTCGCCGGCGCTCACATCCTGCTGGACGGCCCACTTCCCAACAGGCCTCAGACTGGCACCAGTCCGTGGCCCAGGCATGGGGGACCCCCGTTCCAGCACGTGATGCCTGGCCGCAACGCCCAGGAGACAGTCTCCTCCTTCAGGCCCCGGTCCCCCAAGGCCCTGCAGCGCCCACCAAGCCCTTCCCCTTGGGCCCCAAATGATGGGACTACACCGTCTAGTCTCCTCTTCCGCAGAGAATTTCCACACACATTGGAATACGCTCCTCTTGGAGGCAGAAAAATGTGAAGCAAAAAGACAGGAGTGAGGAAACTAGTTCTACGAAGAGGACAGAGAAGAGGACGCCACCCAGGTCCCAGGTGACTGACCCCCCGCTGACAGGAGAAACCAGAACACAGAGCAGGACGGCCCAGGCGCAGGGCGGAGAGAGCCCGCCCTTAACCAGCCAGGCGGAGGCGGGGAAGCCAGACGAGATTCTGCTCGAGCCTGTCTGCAGAAACGTTCACGTCAGTGTAAAACATGCTAGGACGTTCAGATGTTATTAAGTTTGTTTTTCTGAGGGCTTTATCTGTCACGGCACTTCGCACTTCCAGACCTGAGAACCGCTCGGGTCTGAACGTTCTTTGTGGCAGTAATAGCTGCTCACCCAGAAGCGTCTGCTGTTTCCACTTTGGATGACGAGACCCCTCCCAAGTATGTTCCCCCTTCTTTGTTCTGCAAGAGGCTATTAAAAGCCGGAACAGCTTTTAGTCTTGGGAGACGCTTTGATGAATCATCTCCCTTTTGCGAAGGACTTTTAATAGGACCATACTGCAAAGAACCAAAGTGCTCTGCAAGCACTGCAGGGAGCACTGCCCCGTTCATTCCTCACCAGAAGACTCGAACCCGCTCCCTGCTAAAAAGAACCTGCAGATGCCTCACTGCACCGAACCTGCCGGCCACAGCGGGTGGCCCGTGACTGAGCATCCCAGCAGTGAATCTGGACGTGTGTGGAAGGTGATGCTAGTACTCGGCACTCAGCCGCATGGCGGAACTGGACACCTGGGCCAGGATCTTTTCCACCTGACCCTCTCACCTTTGGCCCTCACTGGCATCTGGGGAGCACCTCCTTTCTGCCAGAAGCTGTGCCAGGCGCCCCAGCGTCTTTCTCGCACGCCAGTAAGGAGACGGCAGCATCCGGTCTGTGACCGCGCTCAGCCAGGCCAGCTCTGACGGTCAGCGACAGCCACCAGCTCCCTAGGGCCGAGTTCCCGGCCACCCTGGCCTGCGTCTCGGGGTCCCACAGAGCGCTCCCTTGCCCCGGACACACCCCTGTCCCCCGGGGGAAGAGTGAGCTTTCCACGTGCTACCAGGGGACTCCCACTCAGACCTCCGCCTGACGCCAGGAGCCTCAACTGGGGACATCGCACTCACTGCTCTCGGGGCTGCCGCCCCCAGGCCTGTGTGTTTCCGTACTGCCTCGTCCCAGAGTGACCTGCTCTGACCCTCTCCACGCCCCGGCTCCAGCACCAACCCTGACCCACGAGCCCTGTCCAGACACAATGACAACCGTTCCTCCGGGTTCTCAGTCACTCAAGAACTCGCAGGATGCTGTGTGACTAACGCCCAGGGGCACCATGCCAACTGGCATCTGCTCGGGCCCCTCGTGCTGGCCACAACGTGCTGATGCACCCGTCTGGGTCAGTGGCCAAGCTTCTGGAAACCCCGGTGTTCTCTGCAGTGTGAGGCACAGACGCATCTGATCCAACCCCATGAGCTCAACTGGGCCCTTCTGGGAGAGGCCACCCAGCCACGTCACAGGTCTCTGCCGTCCGTCTCAACCACATGCCAAGAAAGCACGCTGTCGAGCAGGACGGGGCTGTGTCTCTGGGCTTCCTGCCCCACTCGGCCCTTGCCCCCGAGCGGCTCACATTCTCTGGGTGAGCCCACTGCCACCTGCAGTAGCTGTTGCCCTCCCCACGCTCGGTCTCTCTCCCTGGGCCCTCCCAGAGGTGGCAGGCGCCCCCCCGCTCGTCCTTCCTGGCCTGGCGGAAAGAGCACTGAGCTCGGGGGAAGGCGGCTTCAGGGCCCTGACCTCATCCCGGGGCACGAGCAGGTGCTCTTTCTAAGTGACCAGTCCGAATGACAGTCTGCCTCCAGGCTGGGCTCATGGCTCAGCCTGCCATCCCAGCAATCTGGGAGGCCGAGGCGAGTGGATGGCCTGCGCCCGCGGGTTCGAGACCCACCCAGGCGACTTGGCGAGACCTCGTCTCTACGTTAAAGATTAGCCGGGCGTGGTAGCACGCGCCTGGAGGTCCAGCTCCTTGGAAGGCCGCGGCAGAAGGCTCGCCGGAGCCCAGCGGGTCGGTGCTGGGTGACCGTGAGCATGCCGCTGCACTCCAGCCTGGGCGACAGAGTGAGAGGCCGACTCAAAAAAAAAAAAAAAAAAAAGGGAAAAAAGAAGTCTGCCTCGAGCTCCGGCACCGCCCTGGGTTTCTGAGCCCGACGGCGTGAGCACGGGCTCCCTCCCAAGCACGCGTCCTTACAGGGACAGAGGATGTGCTGAGGGCCACGCGCCCAGTTCCAGGTGCGCTGTGAGGCGAGGGCTTCCCACCCGTGGCTGCCTGGGAGCCCCCGACACCTGGCGGGGCCGGGGCGGCCCTGGCCGCGAGGCGCAGGGGGCCGAGCTGCGCCGCTCACCTTCAGGCGCAGGGGTAGCTCCTCGGGGCTCCTCCCCGCCAGCTCGTCGTCATCGTCCTCGTCATCCGGCAGGAGCAGGGTGCTGGGGATGATGCCCTGGGCGTACTTCTTGGTGATCTCCACGAAGTCATCGAGGGCGATGCAGTTCTTGGCTGAGGCACAGGGGAAGAGGGCGTGGGGACCCTCCGCTCCGGCCCGCTGTCTCCCGGGCAAGACAGACAGAGTGGGGGCCAGCCCGGGGTGGAGCTGAGTGAATTCGGGTGGGGAAGCCACTTCCCTGCGGCCCGGAGGAGGGGTCCTGCCGGGGCAGGGGGACGTCTGCCAGTGCCAGCCTCCAGCGCCCCCCGGCCCTGGCACGCCCTTCCTCCTCTCCGGCTCCGGACGCCTGCAGCTCACCGGCACCTCTGAGCCCAGCTCACCCGCCAAGCCTCCAACCGCCGGCATCTCCAGCGCCCGCCGACACCCCTCGCTCCCCCCAGCCCGGGCTGGGCTTCTCACAGCCCTGGTGACGAGCCACCCTGCGGGCCAGCCCCCTACTAACCCTTCCGGCAGGATCTTCTGGCCTACTCTGCCCACTAACCCTCCACCCAACAGGACCCACCGAGGGCCTGCAACCTGCCTGCCAGCTCTGCCCCTCGGCACGCTCCCCTGCAGGCCGACTGTGTGCCCACGAATCCCTCCACCAGCGTGGTTACTGAGGAGTTCCTTCATGCCTCCGAACCCGCCATTCAACGCGCACCTGGCCACAGGCCTGCCGTGTGCTTCACAACCCCACCTTCCACAGGCTCCACTGAGGGCCTACTTTGCGCCCGCCAACTACCCCCCCATCCAATAGGCTCTGCAAAGACAGGATGCGGCCCCTAGGACTTGGCCACCATGGGCGAGACGTCCAGGAGGGCCTCAGGGAAGCATGTGAAAGGAAGGACTAGCCAGGGCAGAGGGAGATCAGTCCGGAGTGTTGCAGAATCCTGGGAAGAGGTGACAGGCTGGACCCAAGATGGCAGCTGTGGTGGTGGGAGCACACAGGACTGGCTGGGTCTCCAAATGGACTGGGAGTGGGTGTGCGCGGAAGAGGACTGAAAACAGGGCCAGGATGTGCGAGGAAGCTGGGCTCAAGGGCAGGACCAGGGTTCACAGGGAGAGGACCAAGGACAGCACCCAGGACGCAGCAGCCATTGGAGGGAGCTGAAGCAGCTGTGAGGGACCCACTCTGGCAGAAGGTGTCAGGGCCGGGGCGGGACTCAGCAGCTCGCTGTGGACACAGGAGCTATGTGAGCGGCCAGGGGACACGCGGGTGCAGGAGCTGAGGAAAGCATGGGCCACACACCTGACCTAAGCAGGGGGGCGTGGATGGCGCTGGACACACAAGACGGTCCGTGAGGCAGCACGTGTGGCTGTGTCTCAGAGCGTTGGGAGACAGAGCCATCTAAGGACACTGAGATGCATGTGGCACCCAGGGCCCAGGCTAGAGGCCTGACGGCCAAGGGGGGCGTCCAAGGAGGAAGAGTCACTCCTGCCTGTGCCACCGACAGACCAGGTCAGAGGAGGGCAGGGAGTGGCCTGCAAAGGGTCGCCTGGGGCCGAGACGAGCCACTTTGGAGGAACGACCACAGGAAGCTCATGCGCGCAGAAGAGGGAGTCAGAGGTGGTGACAGACGCGCCTTTCTGGGAGTCTTGTGGAAAGGGGGCAGAGTGATACCTGGCGGGCACGTGCCAGCTCAGGGGGAGGTGGTGGGGGTGTGGGAGCCACGTCCCTGAGGGCTGAGGGGAGGGCCCGCAGGCCGGCGGCCGGGCTGCCAGTGCCGGGTCCTAAGACGACCGGCAGAGTCGGGGCAGCAGCAGAGCTGCAACCAGCTCGTCACCAACACCTGGGATGGCAGCCGGAGCCTGGTGGCCTAGGGACCTATCCCTGCCCACACTCGACCTCAGGGCGTCACGACCTGCCTGCGCTCAGGGCTCGCCTCACTCGCTCCCAGCAGCTGGGCTCCTCACCTTGGGGCTGGGGCTGCCTCCCGTTCCTCCCCTCTCCACATCACGAGCTCCGTCTCTGCCTCCCCAGGAAAGCGCAGAAGCAGAGGACTGGGGCCTGTGTATCCGCGCCGCCCACCCCGATGTGAGGGTTCGATGGCCACCAGGGTTCCCGTGACACCTTCCGATGGCTCACTTGCTGGGCCGGTGGGAAGGCGGGATGCGTGTCCCCCCCGTCAGATGCTCCTGGGACAGGCGGGGCCTCCGGTCCTCTAGCCTGACCATCTTATGTTCAGAAGGGGAAACTGAGGCCCAGGGCAAAAGTGGTGAGGCCCGAGGTGATGAGAAGAGTCTGGGGCTGAGCTGGGCTCTGCCGGGCCCGTGAAGGCGAGGGCCCCCTGGGTGCCCCACCCATGTTTCCTCCAGAATGGGAGCCCCGGGGGCCCCACACCGCAGAGTCCCTGCCACATGGACGGGGCAACGGTCAGGCCAGACGCTGCGCACGGAGGACATGGAGGCTCTGCTAGTCCTGACCCAGACGTCCCACAAGCACCTGCAGCTGGGGTGACCCCAAGCCTCCGCCCCCACCCACTCCAAAGGGCCCATACGGGGAAGGGCTCCCCGGGCTTCTGCTGGGCGGCTCCACCGGCCGCGAGCCCCCTGCCCTCCCTCCAGAGAGCCCCACCTCCTCACCTGTGCCCGCCTGCGACCGCCCCGCCCTCCCACAACCTGCCCAGCAGGGGCGGTCACGCTGCTGTCTCCAGCCGGG